ATTACTGTAGTAAATATGTTTTCCTCTTTTAGGTAATTTTTTCATATGTTATTATTCTATAAAGTGTATTAAACATGCTATGACTGTTGTTCTATTTTCTCGAGCCATTGATCATTTTAGGAGTAAACAGGAGTTAAACAACAGCAATAAATAATCAATTGCTATTCAGGATACAGTCAAAAAGTTTAAATTTGTTGACCAATGTTACCTGCGGTGATAGTCCAGGAAGTTTTTCGCATCTTCTCGGAGGAGTATTCTAATTAGAAGAAATAAAATAAATAAAAAAATAAACCTAATAACCTTAATAAAAAATAAAAACAATTTTTGACGCAATTTTAGGTCTGGCAACATGCAAATATATTAAAAGGGTTCTTTTTTGAAAGAGATTATGCGAAAGAACATACAAAATAATTTTCTAGACAGATGCGAAGATACTTCCTGTACTATAGCTTCCCAGGTAGCCGATCGCTGGCATCCGTCGGAAATGGGTCACGTGGCTGTTGGATGTGTACAGGGCGAATCACTATGACAAGATGTTACTGCGTGCATGGATGTAAAATAAAGGAAGGAAATGGTGTTCCGATGCATGGGGGGCAGCTCCTGGCAACACTATTGGCATCCAAGAAAACGGCGGCTTTGACAAGTATGACTGTTTATTGCTGTCATTTTTAGTTAACCTCTCTTAATCAGCAAAGGGGCTTCCTGGTCTTTTGAAAAAAAAGTTTAGTGTTAGAGAGATTTTATATTGGAAGGATGTAATTGTTAGAATATTACGACTATTGAGGATTTATATTTGAATCAACAGTCACACAAATGCTATGCTATGCTATGCTATGCTATGAAACGTTCGAGAAGCAGAGTTGAAAGCACTTGATTCCACTGTCAACCCATGGTGATCAGAGATAGATAGAACAAAGACTTACCTGCTACTCTTTCTCTCCAGGGATATATCTCGATAATTGAGTGCTTCAGGACAATGGCTAATATGTTTCACTATCATGGCTAATGTAAGTTTATGTTAAATTGAGTGATTTTTAGCGCTTCTCTGTTAATATTGGTATTCTGTAGTTGATATGAGAAACGACAATTTCCATAGATTTCAAGTTTGAATATGAACTTCAGCATAAAGGGTGTTGTTACTTATGAAAAATCTGGCAACTCTAGTAACCTTACAGTTGTTAACGATAACTACATTATGCCTTTTTAAAATTTGCTTTCATCACTACTTCTAACAATGTTTCTATGCACGTGCTGCAGAAGACCATCACCATGAAAATATTTGGATCATAAATATTATTGATGTGCTCACACAAAATAAAATTTAGATACAAATACGTTCTCAAGTATAGATTTTTTTACTGTTCTCAAAATTTTAAATAACTAGGATATATGGATGATTTCATAATGGCCTGTGTTATTGACGCTGCTGCTTTAACAGATAAGTGTCTACTTATTTGTCAAAACAGCAAAATGTGAATTAGATATGTTATAAGATCTTCCATATATCATTAGTAAATGCCCAATATATAATTATACAAGAGTCTTAGATTTATGACAAGAGCCGGCAACGTCGTACGTGGCGTTCGTGCACAATCTAGCAACCACGTGGCATGCACGTGTTGCCCTATAGATAGCACGTGACTAACCAGTGTATTTTTTTGTGTTCCGATGTTTGGTTGCCAAAAGACCGACAACGGATGATGATATCGTAGCCTAGTCGACTTAGTAATTAATTTGTGATAAAAATTAGTCTGAGAATAATAAAACTTTAAATGGTAAAAAGCGGTATTTTATTAACAAATGGCTATAAGCAGCACTGCACCGTCGGTTGAACCCAGATATTCTGAAAATCATGAATTTGAGACAGTAAGTAGTGTGCCCGGTAATTCTAGACACTTATTTCATACATCATAGATTTTCCCGTATATTTGACCATAACACTTGAATGATAAGATATATGTTTTATGCCACTGAGTTATGTGCCACTGAGCGTAGAATGGTCAAGGGTATATCCGCATTTGCAACACTGAGTTTGCGAGTGCCGTGGCAGGCAGAGTTGCTGGGTGGTCGGTACGGCCGTTAGAGTGCTGGATAGGCGGAATACTGTCTAATCTGTTAGGACTTGTTTGACTGACATATTCCCTTCAATTCCTTTATTATACATGATGCCCGTAGTAAACTTTTTTCTATGAAGGTGTCTGCTCATTTGACGGCATTTTTTAAGCTGCAGTAAGGTATCCCGGACCCTTTCGACTGAAGCCATCGCTTTGCTGGCACGGTCGGTCACTGTAAAAGTATCTGATTCTATACTCGAGAACCGAAAATGAAGATAGTACCAAAACACATCACATATGCCCATGCTAACGCGATACCTTTTTGAATTCCAAAGAAGGTGGGTTCGGTATTTCCCCAAGATTATCGCCCCATCAGCCTGCTGTCAGCTCCGTCGAAGCTCGCCGAAAAGGTGATTCTACGTCACCTTGAGAATTTTTCGTTAGATCACCATGTGATTCCTGACGTGCAATTCGGTTTTCGGTCTGAACATAGTACGGAGCTACAGGCGGTTAGGCTGGTGGAACGAGTACCCAGAGGATTCACCCTTAACGAAAGTACTGACATCTTGCTTTTGGATGTCTCAAAAGCATTTGACAAAGTGTGGCACGCGGGCCTCATGAATAAACTAATCCAAAAGGGCTTCCCTTTCTGGCTTCTAAAACTACTGAACTCCTTCCTTGAAGGTAGGAAATTTCGGATCCAAATTGACAATATCCTGATGACAAAACGGCTGATTACAGCCGGCGTCCCTCAGGGTTGGGTCCTTGGACCTATCCTTTACTCACTGTACATCCATAAGGTCCCTAGCCCCAGCAACTGTGAAGTCTATCTCTATGCTGACGATACTGCATTGGTGGCTCAGTCGCGGTCTGGTAACCTAGTCCATGACAGGCTGCAAAGTGCGGTGGAGGAAGTACTAGATTGGGCAGATCGGTGGCTAATTAAAATTAACCATTCGAAAACGCAGGCAATCTACTGTACAAAAAGACGTCGCGCCGTTCCGTCTGAAGTTTCAATGAATGCTCTTCGTATACCATGGGAATCCTCCGCTAAGTATCTCGGTGTCATTCTGGACAAAGGGATGACTTGGCTGATCCATACAGAAGCGCTAAAAACTGAATTCCAAATTACGTTTCGACAGCCTTACCCATTATTATTTTCAAAATTAAGTTTGATTAACAAGATTCGACTCTATAAGGTGGTGATAAGACCAACTATAACTTACGCATGTGCGGCTTGGTGTTTTATTGCTAAAACACACATGCGAAATATGCAGGTTCTGCAAAGCAGGGCGTTGCGCACTTTTGCTGACGCCCCATGGTATGTCTCTAACGAAACTCTACATAGAGACCTTGACGTCCCTTACCTAAAGGACTACATTAAGCAATAGGCGCAGGGACGCTATAGCCTAGCGAAATCGCACAGCAACCCTCTGTTGCGTAAGTCAGTGGACTACACAGTCGAGCAAGTTCGCAAGCACAAAATGCCGCGGCTCGCACTGTAATCAAAATTAATTCGTGAACTTAGAACAACCTAAAATGGAGCATTTTGACAAAAACGAGAAAAAAATCGAATATTTTTAGACTATATCAAAATCTGTGAAGTGAACAATGCCTAAATGCTGCCTATCCTAAAAGATTCTCTTCTTCCCCTTTGCTCTCGTTCTTCCTTCTCTCCTTTCCTTCCCTTTTTCCTTAAAATTGTCTGGTTTCTGGGTTACCAGACCTGACAGACTTACAAACTGACACTGTGACTCAAGAGCTAAGGTCCCACGGACCGCACTGACAACCAACGATGACTTGACTTGATTGACCTTTTAGAATATGCCCACGCGCGGACCATGTCAAATCAAAAAGATTTCGCGTTAGCATGGGTGTGCGGTGTGTTTCGCGGCTCTCCTCCTTTTCAGCTCCCGAGCATAATGAGGTTGAGAAATATGCTTAAAAAGAAGAGCATAAAAAGGTTTTACTGTAAGTGACGCTTCTCGTCTTAGTCGATACCCGGTGTTTCAAATTCAACCCTCACAATGGGATCTCGGAAACGGTAAGAAATACGAAGTCGCTTGGAGGGAGCAAAATTGCGTATTCAGGTACCTAACAACATGGCACTTATAAAGTTTCGAAATTCAAAGTACTACTGGAGAGAGACAGCAAAAAAAAACAGAATTTTCCCAAAACCATTTTAATTTTTTCTGACTTTATTTGTAGTGGGGTTTTGAAATAGATTACACATTCACGTTGCCACTTTTGCTCCGATACAAGACAGCATAAACAGATCAATATGGTGTTCCATCTGCGTATTGTCCTTTAGCATCAACTTTACTTTGTCTTATGGATGCCCACAAACTTTGCTGGGTAGGCCTTGAAATTTTCAGATAGTCATTTTTCACATTTTCAATTCGAAAGTTGCTTTTTCGACTTCCATCCCCAAAATTGTTTTTTCATATGGACGCCATATTGTAATTTTGCTCATTCAAATTCGTTTCGATTGCGCAAAATTTTAATACATTAAAAAAGTTGATGATGGAGATCGAAAGCAGAAACGGCCAATTGAGAATTTGACTACGCCTTGTTGTAGAAGAAAAAAAGTAGCAATGTTCAGTGCAATATATTTTGAACCCCACTACAAATAAAGTCATAAAAAAATTAAAACGACTTTGGGAAAACTCGGTTCCTTCCGTCTCTCTCCGGAAGTATTTTGAATTTCGCAACTTTCTTATCGGCATTTTGTTAGCTATCTGAATACGCAACCTTGCTCCTAATTAAGCGACTTCGTATTTCTTACCATTTCCGGGATCCCAATGGTCAACGTCGAAAATGAAACACCTAGTATACTTTGGTAATTCTTTGCAGGTTCTCTATGCTTCCAGTTTTACCCCATCAGATTTCACAAGGGAGACGAGATATACAGGCACCTTTGGAAAATTCAACTTCCAGCTATTCAAGATGCTCGAAAGTGTACACAATTTTCAGTAAGCAAAATACCATATAATCCATAAAAATACGATTTTCAAAATACTGCACTTACCTTCATAAGAACGGCAAACCGGGATTCCAAAAATGAAGGCCAATAGTTGAAAAGTATAAAAAAATGCATACAATGTGGTGCTGGGTGTCCTCAAAGTTGTGACTTTCTTTTACACGGCGTATAGATCTTGAAAATGAGCAGTTTTTTGACATGTTAAATGTGTCAACTGCCATGTGTTTAGCACATATGGACTGCCAAAGGTCTGCCATTTGTTATTATGGATTCTTTAACAACGCAAGAACACATTTTGGTCGTCCAAAAAAAATTACGGAAACGGACGATCTTTAAAAAGTACTTTTTGCAAACGTCGAGATGAATTTGGTCGACATAATCGTCCCACAGAGCGTGGAGTTCGGTGGATTATCAATCGTTTTGAAGAAACTGGCTCAGTTGAAGGCCGTAGAAGATATCGGCATGCCCGTCCAGTACGTACCAACGAATTCGAATACGGGTAGAAGACGTAAACAAAGGATTTGTTTTTATCAATCATCTAGAGCGACACATAAACTCGAGTGGCTACCAGTTTTCTGCGGTGTTGTCACATCTTGTTCAAAATCAACAAATGCCTTCACGCAATCGATCGATGATGCACTGAGCAGTGCAAAAATAATCGTAAAATGTTATACGTGGTGATAACTAAATAAAGAGTATTAATTTGTCTGCTATATGTTGTATTTTCAAATAGAACAACTCATGTGTACGTACAGTTATAAATTGTTTCTAACACCTGCACCGAAAAGAAAGTCTTTGGTTCAGTACCCTAATATATTTCATATTATAATGTTTCCACTAACTGATGCAGTGTCATCATAACTTCAAAATCTACCAACTTCACGGAAGTCGCAAAAATGAAAACAAATAATTTAAAAAAAACATCACAGCGATTTCCGAAAATCTTGAGCTATTCTTATTCTGGTTTCGAACTCGGCATTTCAAAATACATCTGAAATAAGCACCGAAGACAATTAAGAAATATGAATCCCGGTGGTATTTCCTGAAAAACTAATATTTGCGAATTAAACGTGGCAACGCTGTGGTGGCAAATCGAGAACAGCTGGGCTGATTTCTGGTGTTTTAAGCTGGCGACGGACGGTGAGCGATAATATAATATATATTATATCCTGCATATTACAGAAATACCGCTTCATGTGTAAACGAACCGCTTTTGAAGGTGGCCGGCTTCGCGCGGGTTTGCCGCTTTGTTATTTGTTCTTGCATTTCGGAATCGGAATTCGCAATAGACTAAATGGAGTGCCTACATATTTTATTGAAAGTGTAAGAAAACATCCATGTTTATGGAAGGTAGACTCGAACGAGTATAAAAATAATGAGATTAAGGCTGCTCCGACGCAGTGAGTTTCAAGCCATTTACAAGGGTTCAGCTGCTTCAAAACTGACACTCTAATTTTCAATATTTTTGAATGAAATTCATACAGTATGTTGAGAAGATAATTGCTCAGGGTGCTATGTAAAACTTGTTTCTTGTTATATTACTTTTCTTTTTGGGTTGTTGTTACTTTTACATGCTCGGTTAAGTTAACAGCATAGCTGGCCTTCACCAAGTTTAAAATAAAGACGGTTTTATTTATTTATTTATTATAGGAACACTTTTAGAAAATTTGGTTTTGCACACAAGTTTTATGATGGGTTGAAGTGCGCACTTTTTCTGTTCAACTTCGCGATTTTTTTAAAAAGAACCTAGTGAAGAAAATGAAAAAGTGGCTCTGTAGCACCCTGTGGGGTTTTGTTTTCAGCACACTGTGAAAGTTTCATCCAAAATTATCAAAAAGTAAAGCGTCAATTTCGAAGCGCTCAAACCTCTACAAATCGTATTTTGGACGAATTTTGTCTACTGTTTCTTGCTGCCAACTCAAGCGTTGCGGCGCAATTGTACGGACTAAGAAAGGACGTATTAGATAAGTCGTTCTTCAAATAGGTACTCATAATCGCGATCGCTGATACTCCTCGATTTTAATGCCGTTTTACTTCCCACGTCATTGGCGAGGAAGTATTGTAATCGCGAAAAAATTTTAAAATGAGATGTTATGTTTTTTTAAGTCATATGACATCTACATCACGAAAAACTGTATCACTCATCATCAACTTGGAAATTACCGCTCGGATTTTTATGAAATTTCCACACGCGGTTACTAGTATTCCAAAGCTTTGTAGTTTTAGTCCAGTGGCAAAAGTGCTAAAGGCAAAAAAGAAAAAGTAACAATTGCTGAAACTCCGTTTTTGACATTTCAGGGGTTCCTAATCATTGACATAAAAACATTATACTGCTTAAAAAGGGGGTGTTGAAATCCGTAAAACACGTTCTATTACTAAGAAGCTTCTGATCCCAGTGATTACAGGAAATTTAAGTATCGAAAATCCGACGAATAATGTGCTCACGATTTCAAAAAATCGGTACCTGCTCTATAGGTTTGACACCAATAGCCAACAGATCTGCAACTACTGACAGTAGGGAAGAATAAATTCGGATATCACTCCAGTCAAGTACTATATATATACCAATTTTACAAGGGTGGTGTGGTAGATGGTAACAATTGAACGAGGGTCATAAAAATATCTTATGCCGTCAAAATAAGAGGAAAGAGTTAGGTAGTTTTTGCAAAGCAATAAACAGGTAGGCTTATACCTGGATTAAGTATCTATATGTCTTGTCTACTGTAATAGGTAGATGGAGGTGATGCTGCCAGAAATGGATGTGTGCGATCAATAAACAAACCACAAGATTGAACTGCCGTGTCCAGTGATTTTTGTATTGCCTTACCAGAAGACTCTGTTGGGTATATGATGGAGTTTACTAGAACTTTACAGCTTGTTGTCTGTCTTCTTCTACAAACTTCACCTAATCGAGACACTGTCAACCTTATCCTCCGATGAAGACGCCACAAAGCACAGTCCTGTGTCTTGGTGACTTGTTCGATATGAAAAATCTCGTAGTTACTTTTTCTAAGTTTCCCTAAAAATTCTTCCTTAGCAACCTCCAAATCAATGTCGTTCATGTCAGGTTTTTGACAGAATTCGCCATAAAACTATTATATATTTTCTTTGGAATTGCTATCCGAATTTTTAGTTATGTTTATATCAACTTTTTTTGGTCTGAGTTTCTTTCCAAGATTCTTGCGTTTGAGTCTTTGTTTCATCTTAGTGATAAAGTTGGACTAAGCTTAGAACGTATTTGGACCACATAGACAGACCGCTCGGTATTGTGGCTCACTACAGCTGCATCACATCTTCCATGGTATGACCTCTTCTTGCAATAATTTATTCGCTTACCCCAATGTATTTTGCGATTATAGAGTTGAACTGCTCCACATTATTGTTGTCCTCATCATGAATTAAACTCACTGAATTCGTAATTAAAATTATCGCATATGACATTTTATTGTCCATTATCAACCTTGATAAAAAATTCACTCAAGAACAATCACACCAACAAGAGTACAACACAACAATTCAACAACACAATATCGATGAACAGAAGCAAGGGTAGAACAATACTAAATGATCACTAGCTGAGTACCAAAATAAGAAACGATTTACAGGCTAGATCGCTAATCGAAATCCGACTCTGTGATTATAAAAATTTACCTGGGTAGGCACCCGCAGTCATCCTTTCCTCTTTTAAAGTAGCGCCGACCACCGTCTAAGACCAGCCCACCATCGTTTCCTTTTCACCCCCCCGTTACCTCAGCAGATAGTGCTCGTGATTGTAGGAGCCCCGTTAAAGAAGCAGCTTGGAGGTCTATCATCGCTGATTGCTATTTATCCCACGTATGTATTCAACTTGTACATATTTATTTTTATATAAATAGGTTGTTTGAAAGCTAATAGTAGGGGGCCCAAGAGGGGATTTTGAAATTTTATCAAGCTCCGCAGATTAACATATGGGGGATACCTTGTACCCTTCTTGAGCACCTCTATCATATACATATAAGCTATGGTAGATCTTTTTGAGTGACTCCCCATTTAGCATCATGGGCTCCCCTACTATAAGTAGAAATGTCCAAAAGAGTTTGAGGGATTTTAGACTGTGAACTACATTTTACTTTTACGGTAAAAAAACTTGATCCAACCTTAGAAAAACCTTATTTAAATACAAAACAAAGGGAATTATTAGAAATATAATGTCCATGTCGCGAATCAATTCGACACACGCGTTTGTTGCCAATGAACACTTCCTTACGTATTAAAATATCTACAGAACTCTTTCCTTATCATATCATGCAATTCATAAAAATTGTTTCTATCCATTCCGAAATAATTCGCGAATTTTTCATCACTTAAGTCTTTGAACAGTGTAAATTCTCCTCGTTCCTTCCTGAACTTGATATGGTTAAATAACCAGTATCTAGGGTCTTCTTTTTGATTAGAAGCAATCACTGCTAAGAGGTAATCGTTTTCGGCATTTGCTTCATCTTATGATGAGCTATCGATTGTGTCTAGTATTAGCAATTCATTAAGCCTGTTAGAACATTTTTAATGAACACCACAATTAAATAATGAAACAAAGGTTAATTAAATACACTGTGTTCAGCTCAGATCAGCAGATCAGCATACTCACAGAAATACTAAGAAGTCGGCAACACTGTTAGAAAGATATGAAAATATATATTCTGTCGACCGTTGCAGTCATAATATAATATTATAGCGTATTGTACGACTATAATATATATTATATTATCGCTCACCGTCCGTTGCCAGCTTTATGCTGCGGCTTTGTGCAATTGAGGGGAAGCTTTATTTTGCTCAATGTTGTCATGTTTACGTGTGTTTCCGTGGTATTTTCACAGGGTTTTGAGGATTTTGAAACATTTCAGGGAAATATATACCATTTTGGACTATTCTCGAAGATGGTGAAGTGTTACATGTTATGTAAAAAGCAGTTTAAGCGCGATAAAAGCAGATGTCTACTCGGGGAAAAGTATACAATTTTCGTTCAAGGTCAAATTTTGTGTAAACAATAATCTGTTGATGTTGCTAACAAACAATCTCTTGAGATCATATGGGCTCAGCTTCTTCTAGCCTAGTCCGAATTCGTTGGTACGTACACGTGAATCAGTGGCCGTTGTGAGAGAAAGTGTTCCTGAACAGCCATCAGACACCGTTCGCAAGAATTTGACATCAGGCCAACAACATTATGGAGGATTTTGCATGTTGATCTCCACCTACACCCATACAAGATCCAACTAACTCAACAATTGAAGAAAGCGGACCATCAGCAACGCCGTATTTTTGTTAATTGGATGCTTGAAAAAGGAGAGGGATTTTTCGGCTAAAATCATATTTTCATACGAGGCACATTTTTACCTCAGTGGCCACATAAATGAGGAAAACTGTAGGATTTGGGGTTCGAAAAAACCACAAATTATTGGCTGGTGGCATCATTGGACCGTTCTTTTTCGAGGATGAAGAAGAAAAAGCCGTTAAGATCACAGCTGAACGTTATCGTGGTATGATAACGGATTTTTTTTAGCCGAAATTGGAAGGACTTGATGCCAACGACCTTTGGTTCCAAGACGGTGCAACTTCACATACAGCTTGCCAAACAATCCAGTTATTGGCCGGGAAAATTCCAGATCGCATTATTTCGAGAAATTCCGACGTGAACTGGCCTCCAAAATCGTGTGACTTAACGCCACTGGACTATTTTCTCTAGAGATTTTTGAAAATTAAGGGGACTTGACTGGCCCACGCACGATTCAAGACCTTAAGCGCAACAGCATCGAAGATTTATATGTTCGGATGATGGCATGTCAACGGAGCCGCAGTGGACATAAATGTGCGATGTTATATTCAATACATAAATGGCAAAGACCGACCTACAATTTTCAATAAAGAGTTCGGTTCCTCACTCATAAAAGGTGTGTTTGTTCTTATATTGAAGAAAAGAAGGAACGGATGGAACAACAAGGTCGTAACATTACCGTGATGTTTGGCTCCTCAAGATAAATCAGTAAACAAAACCTAATCCAATCCTGCACCTCGATCAGATCAAACGTGACACGTACGATGCTCATCAGTGCTAAATCCAGGCGCGCATACAGTAATATCAGAGTTGTCTATATTATTTTAATGTGCATGGAGGTCGTTTTCCATGATCCTTCCTGATTTCGTTTTTTAGGTGTGCTAGTTCAGTAATCTGCTGCACACATTCGGGAAAGGCAGTCCGTTCTAAAAGCCTACACTGATGCTTGGTTACGTCAAGCACATACGTGTGCCTTCCAATCTATCGCAGCTTTGAACAATACTTACAAGTGACACAGCTGTAATCAGAATTTCTTTTCAATGAACGTCATTTATTTTTTTTAACTTTTTCGTTGTTGTTTCTCCATACATCAGCTTTGTTATTACAAACGCAATTGTTTCTGTAAAGTCCAAACTTTCAGGACAGCCTGTATAAGGACGATTCAACAAATAACGACTATATTTTTAAAATATAAAAACAATACGTAACTTAAAAGCATAGATTCTGAGAGAATCCATTGCTGCAATACAGTCCTAACATTCAAATCAGTATTTATCCAAGAGGATAGACAAGAGTTTGTCAAGAAAGATGGACCATTTGAAATCGAGTGCTGATGATTTAAGAAAATTGAAGGTTTTGTTTTTAAAAGTAGATTTACTATTTTTTGAACACGCGAATATACTATTAAGATGGCTGTCTTCAGAATACGTTAACCAATGGTATTATATATGTATAAAAGTTTATTACAATCTACATCTACTATACATATATGGTTCTCTTAGTTCTACACTTATGGAAATTTTTCGTACTATCTTCAACGATATTTCTGTCCTAAAATCATCCTACATAGCCCAAGAGCTTTCTCAAAAGCGGGTAATACCACAAGATGTGATGACATTTAACCGTCACGATATTTTTTATGTGAAAAAATAAAAAAATTCAAAAGCAAATGAATTTCTAAAATAATTGAAATTGTTTTTTTTTTAAATTCTGCAAAAAAGTTGACTTGAATAAATCTCCAGTAGAGCAAAAAACTAGAAAAAGATTTTTATAGTAAAATGACGAGACACCGCGGCTGCTATGATGATCCCAAGGAAATTTTGTTAATACGATTTTTGAACTGCTGCTTTGAACCGGAAAAAGCTTCCTCTTGTAGATTTTTTGCCTATCTTTGGAAAGAGCCAACCTAAGGTTGCCGGTGGCACTGTTGCGGGGTTGAAGAAGAGATCTAGGCGCATGTCCTGTGACACTGAGAGGCAGACAATACTCTGGTCCATCACTTTGTATCCCGTGGAACTCAAGGCTATACCCAACTTTGCAAGAAGGGCGGGTCTTAAGGTTTAGGAAATGGAAGGGTGCATAAGAGCTGGTTTAAGTGGCCTATGCGCCGACTGCTCACGGTGGCCGGTATGCCTCTCATTTCAGCATTCATTCATTCAGTTCCACTCCAAGGATATATCAGGAGTTTTGATATATTATTCATAACTGTGTATTCAAGGTCTATACCAATTTTTAGCTTTGTGGGAATTTTTGCAAACCTAATTTGTATTTTGACCTAAACAGGGTGTTTCAGTTTATTGTTGTATAACTTTAAGATTCGATAGAACTTTTAAAATTAATGCATAAAGTCTATAGAAACATGGGTCGAAAAATGCGTGGCTTCCGAAATACAGGGTGTTTAAATTTACTTTCTAAAATAGTTTTTTTTAAATATTTAGAACAATATTTGATGTATAACAGTGAAAATTGGTATACAAGGAATTTTTTGGAACGACAAAACGACGGCATAGTTTTACTGTAGCCGCTTGAAGGCGCTCTCTACTGTACCTGTAGTGTATTAAAATGACCGAATATTTTTTTTTAGTACAATTTTTTGCTTTTTGAATAAAAAAACTGATTCTTCGCACTTTTCAACATAAAAAAGCTATCCTGTGAATTTTCGTTATAGTTAGCCGTTTTTGAGATATTTCGATTTTTAAGGTTCGATGCATTTTTAATTATTTATGATAAAATAACGTTAAAAAGTCAGTATCTCGATAATTTTTAGAAGTAGGCTGTGCCTGCAAAAATTTTTCAAATTGAAAGCAGAATAAGGTTAAACGTCAATTAGTTGACAGTTAGTTTTGTTGTCTGTTGAAACCTGAAATGTTTTTTGCAATTGTGAATGCACGAAATTTAGTTTCTTTTACCTGTTTTTTGTTAGTTTTATAAAAATGCCATTTTTATTCTCCAATCAAGAGTTAGCGGATATTCTCTTTGTGTATGGCTTTGTAAATGGAAACGCAGCAGAAGCAGCCAGAGAATACGCACGAAGATTTCCAAACAGACGACATCCAACTCGCTCAGTATTTGTAAGAGTACATCGCCAAATAATTGAAAATGGCTTTGGAAATCTCCAAAGGGATCAAAACATAAATGTTCGTCAGCGCAGATTTACCCGTATGATTCTGCGTGAGTTTGATCGAGATCCGACCACAAGTGTTAGGAGAGTTTCTGGTGCTTTGGGAATTTCAGCAAGCCATGTTCACCGTGTTCTTAGAAATGACCATAGACGTCCTTACCATTTGCAACCTGTGCAAGGACTACAGCCAGGGGACGGAGAACGAAGAATCACATTTTGTCAGTGGATTCTTGATAGAACTGATAATAATAGGGAGTTTTTAAGTAACGTTTTATGGATCGACGAGTCATGCTTCACTAGACGTGGAGTGGTAAATTTTCATAATCAACATATTTGGTCGCATGAAAATCCGCATGCAGTTCGGGAAAGAAATTATCAGCATGAATTTAGTGTGAACGTGTGGATTGGTATCTACCGTAATCGACTATTTGGACCCTACCTTTGAAAATTGGTATACAAGGAATTTTTTGGAACGACAAAACGACGGCATAGTTTTACTGTAGCCGCTTGAAGGCGCTCTCTACTGTACCTGTAGTGTATTAAAATGACCGAAAATTTTTTCTTAGTGCAATTTTTTGTTTTTTTGAATAAATCAACTGATTCTTTGCACTTTTCAACATAAAAAAGCTCTCCTGTGAGTTTTCGTTATAGTTAGCCGTTTTTGAGATATTTCGATTTTTAAGGTTCGATGCATTTTTAATTATTTATGGGAAAATAATATTTTTTTTATATTTTCGATTTGGGCATTACAAGTAATTAAGATGATCGTTTAGATTGTGTTTTTAAACACAGCAATAATTCCTAACTCCAAATAAACACAAAAAAACAGAATATTAATTTGTTTAATTTTCCAATATTATTTTTAACAAATTAAATTAATTATTTACAACTAAAATGCTATTGGATAGTTAGGACAAACATACAAAATCTAAAGTAGTTGCCCGAAATGTAAACCCAATTGTTCAATTCACAATTCACATCTACGAATGATGGAACGTGGTATAGCATTATTCAAATAAGGCCTTATTTCATCACATGCATTCCTGATTCTGTCTATTAGCATATCTCTTGTAGTTACGGGAGTCTGGTACACTTTTTCTTTTAGAAATCCTCACACAAAGAAATCTAATGGATTTAGGTCAGGGGATCGTGGAGGCCAGGCGACTGGTCCTCCACGGCCGATCCATCTTTCTGGATAATTTTTGTCCAGCCAGTTTCTAACTATTCTCGAATAATGAGCTGGACAACCATCAAGCTGGAACCAGGCCAATCTTCTTAAATCAAACATAACATCATCCCACTTATTTCCAAGAAGGTCGCAGCATTTAACCTTGCAGGCAAAAGGTAGGGTCCAAATAGTCGATTACGGTAGATACCAATCCACACGTTCACACTAAATTCATGCTGATAATTTCTTTCCCGAACTGCATGCGGATTTTCATGCGACCAAATATGTTGATTATGAAAATTTACCACTCCACGTCTAGTGAAGCATGACTCGTCGATCCATAAAACGTTACTTAAAAACTCCCTATTATTATCAGTTCTATCAAGAATCCACTGACAAAATGTGATTCTTCGTTCTCCGTCCCCTGGCTGTAGTCCTTGCACAGGTTGCAAATGGTAAGGACGTCTATGGTCATTTCTAAGAACACGGTGAACATGGCTTGCTGAAATTCCCAAAGCACCAGAAACTCTCCTAACACTTGTGGTCGGATCTCGATCAAACTCACGCAGAATCATACGGGTAAATCTGCGCTGACGAACATTTATGTTTTGATCCCTTTGGAGATTTCCAAAGCCATTTTCAATTATTTGGCGATGCACTCTTACAAATACTGAGCGAGTTGGATGTCGTCTGTTTGGAAATCTTCGTGCGTATTCTCTGGCTGCTTCTGCTGCGTTTCCATTTACAAAGCCATACACAAAGAGAATATCCGCTAACTCTTGATTGGAGAATAAAAATGGCATTTTTATAAAACTAACAAAAAACAGGTAAAAGAAACTAAATTTCGTGCATTCACAATTGCAAAAAACATTTCAGGTTTCAACAGACAACAAAACTAACTGTCAACTAATTGACGTTTAACCTTATTCTGCTTTCAATTTGAAAAATTTTTGCAGGCACAGCCTACTTCTAAAAATTATCGAGATACTGACTTTTTAACGTTATTTTATCATAAATAATTAAAAATGCATCGAACCTTAAAAATCGAAATATCTCAAAAACGGCTAACTATAACGAAAATTCACAGGATAGCTTTTTTATGTTGAAAAGTGCGAAGAATCAGTTTTTTTATTCAAAAAGCAAAAAATTGTACTAAAAAAAATATTCGGTCATTTTAATACACTACAGGTACAGTAGAGTGCGCCCTCTAGCGGCTACAGTAAGACTATGCCCATGGTTCGTCTTGTCGTACCAAAAAACCCTTGTATACCAACTTTCACTGTTATACATCAAATATTGTTCCAAATATTTTAAGAAAACTATTTTTTAAAGTAAATTTAAACACCCTGTATTTCGGAAGCCACGCATTTTTCGACTCATGTTTATATAGACTTTATACATTAATTTTAAAAGTTCTATCAAATCTTAAAGTTATGCAACAATAAACTGAAACACCCTGCAAGCACACACCTATTAATATGGACCGTAAGAAGCACCTCTATCTATTGTAATTTTGTTAATTAAGTCTATAAAAATCGCGAAAATAAGTTAATTTTTGACAAGATCTTCACATGATAAATCAAAATCTCTTCTCTTCAGCTATAACGTAACTCTTGCAAAAGCATGGTACGGCACCAGCATCAATGGCACTGAAGCTGGGGTTGCAAATCTAATCCACGAGCACAGGGTAGATATCGGTGCTGGAGGAATTCTGAGACACGGAGATTCGGAAAGGATATCATTTTACGATTATTTGATGCCCACTTTTCCGTTCAGGTAATATCAGTGTAACGTCATAGCCACAGACTACCAAAAATATATAATTATCTATTTACATTTGGAATTTTGCAGGCATCTCCTCGGAAATTTGCCATATTGCATGTCCCTCAATGGAAGCTAGTAAATCTTCGAAAATGCTTTCTATGTACAGTTGATATTTAGTAGGTACCTATTAACGAGTAACATCGGGCAAAATTATTCATATCAGAGTGGCCAACTAAGAATGTGAGGTACTGTGTCTGGGAACCTATTCATCGTAGAGTCTTGCGACAAAAACAGTTATATAAGTAAAACGGCTAAGAGAAAAACCTGGAAAATATTTTTAAGTTTCTGAAAAGGGCCTTAGGGAGCGTAACTGGAATCTATAATCTAAGAAAGTGATGTTTCTGTGAATTCCTCTATATTAAGCTAACAAAAAAATATCTGATCTTAAAATTCGATGATAATCTGAACCTGTTTGTATGACAATTTTTGCTGTATCTCTAGAGATAAAGTGGGTGTATTCAAAGGTTTCCGTAAAAAAACACCCTGTAACATTGAAACAGCTGAGCCGATTTTAACAAGCTTGGGCTAGTTGAAAAGAGCTATTCTTGGGCTACAAATATTACAATATTTGAAGTTTTGTTAGTTACACATGTAGCCGCTAGACGGCTTTTTTGACATTCTGGCAGAAATGGTTAATTTTCTCAAAAAAAATTAAATGCATTAATATAATATTTTTTTATGAAAAAGTAGTTAAATGATGTGTAAACAAGCTCTTGAAAACCGCATCCCGATGTCTTGTTCCTAACCTAAAATTTCATATCTTCTCTAGTTGTAGGTTGAGTCTGAAACACGATGTCCTTCAACCAGCCCCATGAATTAAAATCAAGGCAAGTTAAGTCTGGTGATTGCGAAGGCAATGGAAACAGACTTCTTCTTCCAAACCACTGCTATTGAAATACTGGATTAATATGCTCTCGCACAATAATAGCAAAATGTGCTGGGCAACAACCATGAGCAAAAATGTTTTGCCGTGTTTCCAGTGGCACATCTTCCAACAACAATGGTAATTGATTGTACAAAATGCCAAGAAAGGCATTCCCATTTATGGATTGCTCGAAAAAATATGGGCCAATAATTCTGCCTCGCAGTAAGCCACACATTTAAATTCGGGGGGGGGGGTTGGGCAACTATTCAAAATAGTAGCAGAAATAATATCTTTCATGTTGGGATGTTTTGAAGAGCAAAAAAAATCTCACACGCCACCTTTTACCCAAGGATTGGGTTTATTAAGAATATTTCACTTTGTGTTCTTCCAATTCTTTGCCGTTGAAACGTAGGCCGAAAACTACCATTGGCTCCTAAGCTCGCCACTAATCGCGGAAAAAACTATCACATTGCAAAGACGACGATTTAGATATCGAGTCGCGTAAACTCTTTTTGCTACTGCGGCATTCTGAAGACATTGAAGATAAACCGCAATCATATCAATATTGACAATTTGAGGATTATTTATGTTTTGGTTAGGTATTTGTTGTAACAAGATATCGGGATGAGGTTGCCGGGAGCTTGTTTAGACATCATTTAGCTACTTTTTCATAAAAAATGATACAAATGCATTTACATTTTTTGAGAAAATTAACCATTTCTGTCGGAATGTCCAAAAAAGCCCTAGTAGCCACATGTGAAACTAACAAAATTTCATATATTATAACTAAAAATAGCTCTTTTCAACTAATCCAAGTTTGTTAAAATCGGCTCAGTCATTTCGAAGATACAGGGTATTTTTCTCGGAATCCTTTGAATACCCCCACCACTTTATTTTTAGAGATGCAGCATACATTGTCAAACAAAACAAGTTCACAGTATCATCGACTTTAAAGAACGTGATTTTTTTTGCTTAGTTAATACAGCGGAATTCTAAGAAACAACACTTTTTTAGATTCAAGATTGCAGTTACGCCGCCTAGCGGCCATTTTAGAGACTTAAAAATTATTGTTTTCTCTTGGACGTTTTAGTCAGAACTTTTTTTGCCGCAGGCCTCTACGATAGATATGTTCCCAGTTACAGTACCTCACATTCTTAGTTGGCCACCCTGAACTTAGAAATATTAAATTATTTGTTACTAAATAGTTTATTTTTAGCAAAAATGCAATATTACAACTAGTCGGACGGCTCTGAAGCCGCAACAATTGACAACGTCGTATATATAGTCGAAATCACGAAAGATGACGATTACGTCATCATTCTAGTCTGTAGTAAATACAAACGACAGCGATTTGTGAATATTTTCAATAAAGTTTCAAATATGTTAGATAGAGACAAACGGAATTTTATTGTCTAAACAAAAACAGTATTGCTAATTTGCATGTATCCGACAAAGATAGAAGATGTTTTCATGTTGCATGATCGATCATATTTGAAAGATGAATTGTTAGGTTATGTTAAAGCAGGTTAGGTTGTTTTGGTGTTCCTGTCTTAAGGTCTACTCATAACTGTTTTTTTTTCCAAAACAAAAACTCCTCACTAAAATTATTATTAAGGTATCTTGACCATAAAATAAAATAAATATAAAAATAAAATAATCAGTGAAATAACCTAACTTCGCAAAATCATAATATAAATTCATTGTAATATGTGCCCGACATCGTGACTTTATCATCGCCGTACGTCCATTGATTACTACAGTATAATTCATGATATGACGTGATTTTGACTATAGGTAGATATATCTTATAAAATATGTAGACTCTTCAAATATAATTCGAATGTGTCAAGTGAGATTTTGTATTGACGTGAAACCTGTCGTTTGACTTTTCTGTATTTTATCCACAGCAATTTATTAATTTGCGTATTTGTGAAATTAGTAATAGTGAGCCACTGCTATATACAGGGAAAACCAAATTTGTCTGAAGGCTTGAATTTAATGTGTACGAGAGGGAAGCGTGAGAAGTGTTTGTTAGAAAGAGATAGAAGCCGGCTGAAGAGCGAATGTCATCACCACATTGTCTAGTGACAGTGACGGAGAAAAGTCATACAATCTGCCGCGCTGCCTATATGTTACACCAGAAAGTGTTCGCACAATAGGTTAGGTTACAGCCAAACCTAAAATGGAGGTATATTCGAATATTTAATTTAATATTCTGTTTTTATTTTGATTTTTAATTATATTTATTTCAATGCGACTTAGTGCTTTAATTTATTTTAGAATGATCTTTGATTTCCACCGATGTTGATAAAAATCAAACATTCTGAGGTATTGTTACATTTTGCGACAGCGAGCGGTCGAAAAATGTAACAAATATAATTACCGCAATACAAATTATCACTTTCTGGGTGTACGCAGGTGAAAGCCATTTTGAAGCAAGACGACATTCCCCTACGAGCGCTATATGTGTACTGACTGGAGGAGGGGATAGGGATGCAACGATATATCGGAAAACCGATAAATATCGATATATCGACAACTAAAAATATCGATACTTATCGATATCGTCGATAGGCTGATATCGATATATCGATATCGAAAATTTCAATATATTGTATCAAAATATCGAAAAACCCACCCAAATTAAAATACCCACAAAATCGGGTAAAACGCTTGACTGGCAACGTGGCAACACTGACTCTCTAGAAAATGAGGTATGACGATATGACAAGTGACAAGTGTATATGTTTTGTGATATGACAAGTGTGACATGTACACGTGTTGTACCTGATGGTTTCTAATAAATTAATACTCAATTTTAATTTCAAAATATGAAAAGTAGATTATGGTCATATTTCAAAAAAGAAGACAGGCAGTAGCCGTTTTCACTATTTGTAACAAACGAGTTAAAACGTCTGGAAAAAAAAGCAATCTAGCAATACATGTTAAACAAAAACATCTAGAAGAATGTGACGTTGGATATGAAACCACTTTTGGCAACAAGCGTTTCTTCCGAACGTATTTTTTCAAAAGCAGGAGCCACTATAACTCAGAGCAGAAACCGGCTACAAGGAAGCAGACTGTCATAGTTACTATTTTTAAGTTCAATAGCTAGTACAAAATACTGGAATTAATTTTCCCAAATAAATGTATGGAAAGAAAATACATTTTATATACCTATCCGAATTTTGTTTCACTTCACATACATAAGTATGAAAATTTATATATATACACCATCGATAACTGTTTGATATAACTGAAACAACATTGGATTTCTAATTTCTGTAAGCTTCCAAAAAATATGAAATATCGATATATCGGCTTAATAGACCGATAGATCGATAGATCGATGTCGGCTTAATAGACCGATATATCGATAGATCGATATCGACTTAATTCGATATCTAGCGATATCGATATATCGATGTTTATAAAAAGTTTGGATCCCTAGGAGGGGAAGACTTGCCTCGGAATGTATAAGATGCTGTGCTGTCAAACGAACCAATGATGCAATAATGCAGAATTTGCAGTGATTCTGACCTCTTATCTCGACCTAAAGTGGAGCATAATTAAGACCGATCGGGAATCGATCCTGAACAGACTCTATACAATTCTAAAATGTGTACACTCAAAATAAGACCATTATTTGGGCATAGAGAATAAACTACCGCATATTTTCAAAATGCATCTAAGTTCAAGGAACTGGTGTAACATATTTGCTACGCGGCAGATTGCCGCGTCAGGGTTGCTAGGTAACGTGGGGATGAGCTCCGCCTTCCAGCCGGCTTCTATCTATTTCTAACATATGTGTCTATATGTTATCGGTAATCTGTATAATTCAGGTATTCTATACAATACCTAGAGAATGTATAGAATACCTGGGTTGCCCAGGCAATGTATGAAATATTATGAATATTATTATCCATTACATACTTTACCTAGGTAATGAATACAAGTCATAGGGCTTGTACTCGTATAGAGTACCTGCTGTTCCACCGGCAATATGTGAAATAAATAGGTCTTGGTCTAAATTTATCAATAATAACCGGCATACCTATAAAATGACGGACAAAGGAAACAAGTTGTATTATTTAAAATTAACTTAATTAAAATTAACAATTAGAGTGCTCCTTAAAAATAAGCTTTTTGAATAGGGTGCAAAAAAGCAACTTTCTGTTATTACAATAAAATATAAGTAAAATTTACGTGAAACTAAAAATTATTCTGGCTATAAGTAACACAATGTAATTTTTTTGCTTACAAGTACGTACGTAATACGTATAAAGGACAGTTCTGTAGAAATATAGGCGTCTACTGCTTAGTCAAAACTTTAATAAAATAAAAAAATAATATTCTTACATGTACTTAGGAAAAAAAACGTTTATTGCCTGCCTGCCGGTACGTACAACCCGTTCATTGCTACACATTACCTGCTGCGCATTCGATTTTGTATAGGTTACCTAGGCAAAGTATAAAACAAATAATATTTCATAGATTACCTACACGTTTTAGGTATTCTATACATTACCTAGGTATTGTATAGAATACCGGATTATACAGATTGCCGGTAACATATACACCCTCTGGTACACATCGAACTTGAGCCGTCAGACACATTTGGTTCTCAGTGTATGCAAAACTATAGGTCACAAGGCAGAAGGACGTATTTCGGTTCATAGGGAAACATAGGTTATGTTTATGCTTTATTTACAGTTCCCAGTGGCGTGGTTGTTATTCACTGTATACATGTAATTTTATTATTTTTTATTTATGGACACCATGCTATGCCCCTTTATGTTATATCCAAGTTATGGGTATATCATCGCTCCTCAAATTAATCATAACTTCCTATTTTGTATGCAATGCATACTTTTTATGCAACATAATGTACTTTTTTATCGCAATACCTCTTGATACTGTACATGCCGAAACTGTAAATAAAATCAAGCCCCTGCAGCAGCAGCAAGATAGATGGCAATAATAATAATAATAATTTATTCGTGTTTGTACACAAAAGTGCTTACACACATCGAGAAAAGTCTCAGCATTTGATCAATAAAAAGCAATACAAAAAAGTAACACTTAATAAGACATAAACAAAATCGAATACAAACACAAGATAATAAAACAAATAGTCATCAATTTTGGGACAAAGTCATCATTTAACAACTCGAATATTATGTAAAAAGCTTTCGACACTAAATATATTCTCATAGTTTGTTTAAAAATGGTTGGGTTGAGTGTTTGACTAAACCTGGGCAGAACATTATTGAATTTTACTTCCGTGTCTATTCTTTGATAGTGTATTATATCGTTATTGAACCTTGTGTTATATTTTTGAATTTCTTTTGAAGGTCTAAATCATCATAATTATTTTAAACATAGATCAGACATTCTAGTATATATATGCATGATGCCATATGGCAATACTGTCTGAAATGAAAGTTCTAGTATCGATACTTGAGATGAATGTCCCCAAATCAGTATGCAGTATTGTAAGTTACATCGGAAGTAAGCATAATATGCTGCTATCAAAGTCGATTTTGCTAGGAAGGTATTTAAACTACGGATCATATAGGTTATTTTAGATAACTTCTTTGATAAAGTGGTGATGTGTGATTCCCAACTTAGTTCACATCAATAAACACTCCAAGGAATTTCACGAGTCCTATTAAATTACTTTTATGTGGACGTACATATTTAGAGACAAACTGTTGGCATTAAACCGGTTTTTTATGTGGTCAAAATGCTGTTGAGAATCGAATAAAACCTGGTCCAGATTATGATTGGAGGATATTGATATCGTATCTTTCGGAAATAATATACAATTGATGCTACAGTTCGGCAGATCATTGATGTGAATCAATAACAGAATCGGTCCTAAGACACTTCCTTGGATAACTCCGTTGATAATATGTACAGTAATTGAAAACTAACATAATGTCTTCTGTCTGATAAATAAGACGTAGTTAAGGACATACCCTTATTACTAAACCGATATAGCGACAACTGTTGATGCAAAATGTGATATTGGACGCAATCTAACGCTTTTGTAAGGTCATTGAAGCCAGCTAGATCGAACATGTTATCTTCCAGACATTTGTTGTTGAAACTGATAGAATCGTCTGTTGCGGCTTTCGTTGATCTGTTGTTACCATATCCAAATTGGCTATTACAGAATTAATTGTTAGATTCGAAGTATTCGCATATCTGAATCTACAGAAGTATTTCAACACATTTTGCTATATTTGGTATTTTATGGAAATGGGTCTGTCTTTCTTGAAGTTTTAAGAAGTCAGGAAATACATTATTTTTTATACACACGTTTATCAATTTTGTTAAAGGATATAGCATCAAGCTTCTTCATAATTTGGACGTCGATGTCATAAGGATCTTTACTTTTAGAATTATGCAAGCTTATGATTGCGTCTCCAACATCGGTGAATGGAACAGTACAAAAGTTAAAATGTAATGTAACATTAGTCTGTATAAAATCTTTACTTACTACTACTTAGGTAGTTGGAATTTCAGCAATAATGGTTTCAGCAAAGCTGGCAAAGAAACAATTTAAATCATGCGCGATGAGAGTAGTAGAATGGGATTTTGATGATTGCACACCATTGCCTTTAATCTCTACCAATATATTTATCGTGAGCATTTTTTTCTTAATCCTGATTTCTGATTGGCACTTAGATTTGAATAAATTAATGTCTTTCTTTAATACTGCATGGGCATTATCTTTATTAATTTGTGTTACTTCAAACTCACCCTTATCTGTGCCAATTCATCGTCAAACCAGTTGATTTTGTTGCGGTAGCCCTCTGACACTTACCTATATTTGATTGGCAAGCACTCATCGACATGTTAAGTTGCTTACAAAACATTCAAATCTGGTAGTCAGGGATAAACTAATATCAGACAAAAAGATACAGTCGACTGCCTGAATTTTACTGTATAATTTGAAAAGACATTCATTAGTAACAGCTCTATAGTTTATTCTCTTCCTATCAGGTCTTACATTTTTTAATTTAAAATGAAATGCAACACCTAAATGGTCGAAGGCTTCTAAGGCTATGCTTGACATGTTTATGTTGGTGAAAATATTATCTAGACAAGCATTCTGCTTGTCCTCACCTTGACAGACTGATACAGTCCAAAGGAGACACATCACGTTGGTATTCCAGTTTTGATTGTCAAATTCAAAATTAAAATATAGTCTAAAGTCTGTGCTGAAGTGCTAAGTAGTATTTGAATTTTATCATAGAATACATTGAAGTTACCATTGGGTGTATATACAATGTGTCCCGAAAAAGTGTGCAATATTCTACCAGCGGTTTCTAGAGCTTAAAATAGGAAGAAAAGTTTATATAAACATAGGTCGACAAAGGTCCCCTAAGGGCGCTACGGTCTTTTAAAGGGGCTCCCCTGAAGATGGTGTTTCCTTAATATTTCCGAAACGTGTTGAGATAAACACATAAAATTTGGTATTCTAGCCTAGTTTTTTATGCTGGATTTAAAAATATTAACAATTTTAGACAGTTTTGTTTGGAAGCGTATGTAACAGGGACGGGCTTATTTTAGCCCCAAAATGTTTGTGTGATTCTATTTTTGAAATTCTATTTTAGAATTTGAAAATTAGGGTTTTCTACATAAAATGAATGAATATCGATAAATTGTGCCATTTTTTGATTGAATCAAACTAAAAAATTTGTCACATGATAGGAAATGTACAGCGAATTTAAATGAATTGTTGAATAATTAGCCATGGCAAAGAAAAAACTAATTTAATAATTGGTAAATATTACATAAATAAATATTTCTATTGCAACATACCAACATTTAGGCAAAAACAAAAGATATAAATTTTTTCTACGAACGAAATTGAAATTTGTTTAAAAAAGAACAGTTGGATATACTTAAAACTAGCTTTACAATAAGTGTTCAAATAAATTCCCATTTTGTTGGATACAGAGTCTCGCTCGACGAACTAATGATA